AGTGGGTCACAAGCTTCTTAAAAGAATAAATAAATAATTAAAAATTCAACTTTATGGACAGATATGAGATTTGAAATATCAAAAAGATACAGTCCAACCCTTCAGTGCTCCTTTACACTTCTAATAAAAGCAGTCATATAGATGAAACTTGTTAAGTCATGGTATTTGGAATAGGGCACTTCAACACTTTGGTTTTGTTCTGAAGCCCCCAAAATCTGTTGCAGGTTGTTCAAATGTTTGCAGAGAATTTATGCCTATTGCCAACAGCCTGCTTTCCTTATGTTCCTTTCCTCAGAGCCTGCACAAGGGCCGCACACGGCCATCAGTCACAATTAATTAAATCACTGCTGACCATCTCTCAACAGCATCTGTGAAATAGAACTTTGTAATAGCAGCCACTGATTTTTCTTCTTAATTTCTTTACAGACCTACATATATGAAGGAGTTGAAGCCAAGAGAATCTTCAAAAGGGGCTAATTACTTCGCCCAGAACAGCACAACAATTGAAAACCAATGAAAAAAGACCATTTTTCTACATATCCTCTGCTTTTTTTTTTCCTTTTACCCCCTCACAGCACCTCCTAAGCTGCAATTACTTAGTTGTGTTGAAAACACAGGCTAGTTCCTTATGCTTACTGTTTTGCCTTGAATAAACAAAATCCAATTACAGTTTGATACAAATGCTAAAATGTCACTTGTACCAAGTCCTACCTGAGCACCATATTATAAAAGGCTGAAGAAACTACTTTCTGTAAGCAGAACTTCAGTATTTTTTGCACTGCTTCTCAAATGGCAACTTAGTTTCCTTATGATAATATTTATATTGATAAACAGTTTCTCTGTGTATTGAATATTGTATAATAAGGATGGCAAACCCTAAAATAAACCTGACAACACCCAAGTCTCTAAGACTACTCTTTGTAAATATAAGTATGGAATAAGCATAAAATATGGTATGATTATACAGCTCACTTAGAGGACTTCAATGATACCCCATTGAGACCTTGCTCAAATCTATAGGAATAGTATAAGGCATGTACTGATTTATATACAGATACCTCACATAAAGTAATTCCATTGTATTTGTTTCTAAAAGTATGACCATGGTTTTAAACATGCAGATTCTGAGTGGCTCCAATCTGCATCAGGAAGAGTATTAGCAGGCTCTGAATGAGTTTCTTTCAAGACATGACTAAAAAATATTGAAGTTATCCTAAGAAGATAAGTTGACTTCAAACATTGGTGTTTCTGATGGATGACAAATACATAGTGTTCTGCTCGTGTCCAGTCTGTAAGTGCTATTTCCAACCCAGCCTCACCTCAAGTTGCACTATTTCCTAAGAGTTGCAGTAAAACTGCACCCCAAGGGTCAGCACTAGTTACAATCTGCTGTGTCCCTCTAACTGTGCCTCTTGGTGGCCATCTAGTGCTGTTCCCATGTCTACAGGGCAGCCTGCTTCCCAGAGCTGGACCCTTTCTGATGCATCAGCAGAATAAACCAGTGTGCTGCCAGTACTCATCCTTCAGCAAATACACCTCGAGCTCTTTTTTGGGCTTCTGAGCTTTTTGCACCCATGCTTCAACTGCCATAGTTAGAAAAAGACTCATTCACGTAAGGCTTTGCTAAAAGGTCAGACCACCACATGGGCCCTGAGGAGAGCCCTGAGGCCTAACTCAAAATATGAATGCAGCCATATCTGTGAAGTCTCACAGCACTTCATCACAGAATTCCCCAATCGTGGTAAACAGCTAGATAACCTTCTGCCATGTGCTTATTCACATGCTCTTACAGGTCCAATTTCAAATATAATTTCTGAACAGGTATGTTTACATTACAATTTTAACAGGTTTTTAAAATACCTCACAAAATTTACCCCCTGTTTTCTTGGTGCTCCTTGACTGGTTTTTTTATTTGTTTATGGCCAGCAAAAAGAAAACCATTTTTTCCTTCATTTATTTTTATAACTGAATGCTCTATTAGCCTGTATTTTTGTGGTCTTTGGCATCTCATAGCTCCCTCTACTGTCAAAATGCTCTCAAGATGCAAACAGTATTCACGTTAGGAGTAGGACAGATCACCCTTCTTTATGAATTTGGATTTCCTCTCCCAGATACTGCTTGTATGCAACTTCCAGCATAGATTTTTTTTTTACATAATCATCTTTCAGTGGGTAGATATACCACATATATCACAATGAAGAGAATACTATTTTAAACAGTCCCTCAATTTTCAATTACAAAGAGATGCAAAACCGAAAAGCAAAGGTATGAAAAACTAAAAAAAACCCCACCAAACAAAAGCAACACCCTAAAATCTGGAAACAACACTACTACAAAATTCTGTCTATCTCTAGGCTGTTCTGTTTAGACACTAAAGCCTTTAAAAGAGAGAGGGTTAAATAATAATGGCTTGCAATAAGCTACGTGACAGATTCTCTCCGTTCAGCTATGTGCACTGAAAAAGCAGACTAAACTATAAGACAGAAGCCCTAACCATGGAAGTGCTGTTACAGAGTTTGACCTCGTTATCAGCTGCATGCCATTATTGCTTCTAAATTGCATAGAAATATATTAGCAATCACATGTCAAAGGTTTCAGGAAATTGAAGAATGCCATTTTATTCTTTTAGAGACTTCACTGGCTGGAATGAAAGCTGTATTAAGTTTCTGAACGTGTTCTCTCTTTCTTCCCTCAGTATGCTGACGCTTTAAATCTTGCACCCTTCTGGTTCAGAAAGCCAAACTAGCTCACGCCTGGTATCAATGCACTTACCTCTGGCACACCCAGGCCAGTAAAACCCTAATTCATTGTTATTTTGGCCTAGGTTACCAGATCTGTTTGATTCATCGGCTACAATGATCAGTAGGGTATTTTTTCTGTCAAGTATTTGAGAAATTATTTTAGTTAGTTCTGGATTACATACAAGGCCACAAACTGAAAAGTAAACTGGTAATTATTTATTAAAGAAAGAAAATACGAGAGCTCAAAAGTATTTAACAGCTCCAAATACCACAGACAGATGCGGTCAGCAGCTGTACTTATAAAATAAGGAAAAATCTTTAAAGACTCGGTTTCCAATACTTGAGATAGGATCATCAATCAAAGGGATAGAGGAGAGTGCTACAGCTTCTGTAAACTAACAAGTAAGATCATTCTATTAGAATGTGACTGAGATAGCCTAGTAAATTTGACTAGGAGACTTCTGTTTCCTAGGCAGGAATTTCAGAATTACATTACTTTGCAACCTAATAGGAAATTGTTTGCTTTGGAGAAACCTATAATCCACAGTTCCTTTTGCTCAAATGAGGTAATACAGGTGGGTAACAAGACTGAAAGGGGAAATAATGTCATTTTTTCCCCCAGAAAATCTCTAATATACTTCACCTAACACACATATGCTTAACCAACACTTGCTATATAAGGAGAAATTCAAGCTCATCCTTATTTCTAATGACAGAACTTAAGGAAAATAGTTACCCCTAAGTGCATGCTTATGAGAGGTTAAACTCTGATCAGATACAACTCTCTGCTTTCTGCAGCAAGTATAGCCTTTTCTCTTTATATGAGGCTAAAAAGGGCTACTAGCTACAGTGAGGAAGTTTTTGTTTAGTTTACTCCTTAGTTTCTGGTCACTCTTCTAGACACAATGAAAATTGCACTCCTTTCAGTACTGAGTGAACTAGCTGGACTGAGGGTAGTACATCCCAACTATGAACATGGCATCAGGTTGTGGAGCTTAATTTAACTTCTTATGAAACTGTGTATTGTGTAAATAAAGCACACAGTATAGGCTATCTACATGAACTTTCACATTTGTTTAGGGTGTACAAGCTCCAACTAACCTTCAAGGATAGGAACATACCTTAAAAGAATTTCTATTTTCCTAAACTTCTTCACAACAGGATTTCCCAAAAGGTCTTTTAGTTTCTTCTAGGGCATCATCTGCTCTCCAAGAAACCATATCAGGAAGAACTTGTGAATGTTTATTTCCACAGAACAGAATGAGGCCAACAGTCTGAAGGAACCAACCACCTGCTTTTCCCCACCCCCTCATCTCACCTGGCCAAGCGCCCTGAGGACTGACAGGGAGCAGCAACCAGTAGCGCCCAGGTACCACCGCAGAAATGCCAATCACCAGCTAAGAGAGAGCCTCCACAAGCATCGCTTCTCCAGACACCAGCAGGAGAAGCGGGAGCTCCCTCCATGTCCCATCTTTACCACAGGAGCCCGGCCTGGCATCGCCATTCTCCCCTCAGCAGTGGGCGGGAAAGGGGCCACCGCGGCAGCG